CTCTAAAGAATGCATATGCGTTGTATCTGAGACATTTCGAAATCGATACCTATTACAGTAAATCGCTTATTGTTTTTTAATTTGTATTTGAGTTATAATATTAAACATGGGTAAATCAAATGTAAATCGTTGTGTGTTAGGATGTTCTAATACACTAGCAAACACTCATCATGTAACGCCGAAAGTTTCATTTTATGGTTTTCAGGCACGTCCACACCTTAAACAGAGGCGCCAAATTTGGATAAATTTTGCTAAAAGACAAAAATAAGAAATACAAAATTTATTGTTAATTTTTAAAAAATTGACACGAATAATTTTCTAAAAATATCCTTGTAAATTTAGTAAAAACGGATCACAGTAGCTACCCTCTAAATCAGCACGGATATGTAGTATGCATTTTATAGATGGGGGAAAAAAGTGAAGATCCAAGATGTCCAATTTATAATTCAACAATCTATCCTGAAAAAAGAAGCAATGAAGAAAATTATCGACATGAACAGTCAATGAAGAGATATAAACGCCTAATGAACAGAAGGAACATTTTATTTGAAGAAGCAGAAAGACACTTTGATGTAGCAATTGAAGACAATTTTTTAGACCCTAAAAAAAAAAAAACGTGACTTTGGAATTCAAACAGAGACTACAAACGAATAGTTTGGAGATGTAAGAATTTTTATTTGCATGACTAGTAACAATGTTTCTGAAACTCAAGTTTCTCATGTTAAAATGATTTTAAAAAATATAGAGAAAATCATAGGTCATGTCATTTTAGTGGTGTAGCAAATTTTGATGACGATCCATCAGGACTTATAACTTTTTTTTCTAGTGGGTACAGATTCGTTTATAACAAATGATTGTTATAAACGAATCTGTAACGAATGCAAAAACTGGAGAAGGGAGATGTTGTTATAGATGATAGAGGGTTTCCTGAAATTAAATTGGCTGTCGAAAATAAAAATTCTATTTTAATTATGCCTCCTTTTTCAAAACCAAATCAAAAGCAGTTTAGTGGTAACGAAATGGACGAAACATACAAAATTGCTCGTGTAAGAATTCACGTTGAGAGAGACATTGCTAGAATTAAAATTTTTGAAATATTGAACTGTAAATTACCCATTTCACTTCTTCCATATGTAGATAAAATAATGTTTGTTTGTGTAGTATTAGTAAATCTGCAGCTACCAATTATAAATGAGTGAAATTTTTTTATTGTGAAAACTTGATACTGTTTACACTTAATACTTAAATACTATTTACAATTGAAGGTAAACAATAATTAAAGTAGAACATTTGCATCTTCTCTAATAGTGAATAAATGAATGTCTCATTTTTTTCCACTTTAATGGTTCAAATGGAGAAGAAACCCTTCGCATTTTTCTCCTATGTGTTATGTAAATATTTTCCACCAGGGCGGCGCGCGAGTAACTTTCTGTAGTCACTCGTAGTAGTTTAGTCGTAGTTTTATTAGATTTTCGGTTATTCCATATGTTTTACTTATTCTTTAATCGCGGTGTTTCGTTTGTGTAAGTTTCGGTTTAAAATACTGGAAGGAAATTTAGGTAAAAACGATTCTTTAATGTTAAATATTGGTGTCAATCAGGATGTGTTATAAACATTGCGATTAAATACAGTAGTTCCTGCAATCCTTTTTGTTTATAAGAAAACTTCTGTATAAATAGGATTCATAATATCGCGTGTAAACAACGTAATATTAATTATAACGTGCAATCCTCATAATATCTATTACAGACTGGTATGTAGACAATATTTCGTATAATTACAAAAGAAATTGCCCAATAAAATTTATAGATTTGTTTTTTGAAACCGTGTCCTGTTTTATATTTGTGGTGTAGTAAACACTAGTATTGTGTTTTATTCCAAAGACACATGGCAAATTTTCCATCAAATTCCTTTATTAGTTGAGTCGAGAATAAATTTCCCACAAACAGTATCGGGACATTCCAATTTTCAACGCGAGTGTTGAGTGTTGAAGTCAACAATTTGACGTCATCAACGACGTTCCAACTCGAGTACGAAGTGCTTAGTTCCCATAATTCCATTCTCAACAAGATGGATTCCATTCAAATGTCTTACCAATTACCCACAATTCATTGGAAAGTAGCAGTAAACATATCTGTTGAGTGCTGAGTGTGCTGAGTCCTTTTTTCAACGTTGAGGTAGCGCTGACAACAGCGCTACCTCAACGTTGAAAAAAGGAACGAATTTTAACGAATGTTGAGATCAGCGCTGAGTCAGCGTTGAAAATTGGAATGCCCCGTATGATTGACTGTTGTTAGGATGTTGTTAGGAAAATTTGCCATGTGTCTTTGGAATAAAACACAATACTAGTGTTTACTATGCCACAAAATTTATAGAATCCAAATTGGACTTGGAAAACGCCAGACTTCTCCAGAGAGTAATTAATATTCTTTGTAATACTTTGGCCACCTTGCTCTCAATAGTACAACTGTAAAAAAATAACAAATGAATTGTCGGTATTATTTATCCGGGTTGTTACGTTTGTTTAAGTTTCGGTTTAAAATGCCGGAAATCGTTCTCGAGCCGGGAAATTGTAATATCTGAACCCTTAAAATCCATTCGCAATTATTGAATCAAAAACCAAAACTGGAAAAATCCATAAATGCGATACGGTACGACGGGCCGTCGTCGGGTTTGACCGGATTGGAAGGCCTTTTCGGAAATTTAACCTTTCGATCTACTGTATATACTTTAATTAATCGATATCGTACATTTCTTACATTTTTTAGCAACACTTTATTAGAACAAATGTTTTCGGCTTAGTTTATGGATCTGATTTAAGTTCTACGCTTTTGAATTGAATATTTGATTAAATTGAATTGAATACTGAGTATTTCAAATAGTAAAGCAGGCCCATAAACTATGCTGAAAATGTTTGTTTCTAATAAAGTATGCTGGAAAACAAGGAAGATGCGATACTGAATAATGTTAAGGTAAGTTTCGGCTTTGAATGACTGATTACTTTAATTATTATTGAATTCGTAACTGTCGATATTTAAAAATATTAGTTTTTATTTCTTAGTTTGTGCAATACAATTTCCATTTAACGTTATTATTCAAATTAGCCACTAAAATAGGAAGTGAAAGAAAGCAGCTGAGATGTAACAAATAGTTGTCAACCTTAAAATATGAAAAAAATAAAACATAAAATTATTTTTTCCTGTTTTAAAAAATTAATTTATCATCAATTCTTATTCAAGATTTGAATATAATTTGCAAGGTTTAAAAATGCCAAATTGCTCGTGATTATTGAAATTATAAGCACAGAGAATTGCTGATGGAAATGCTGTTATGGGATTATTTTATTTTCAGATTTCGTCGACAAGTAAAGTAATTAATAAATTGTATAAGATTTGAGTTAACATAGAAACATAACAGTCATAGGCATTCAGTGCTCTTTTTCTAAAAATTTACTGTCAGTACACATATATAATGACTGAACATGCAGTATTGTTTTTACTGAACAATCGTCATTACTATGTATGGCTAACAATACTTTTTTATGCTATCTGCCATTATAGCATACCAGTGCATTCCAGCTGAATATAGACCTGGGACATGCAAAGACATCTGTCTCTAAACATGCACCAGCACAAACACCCTAATTAGGAAAACTCTGTTCTCACCATTTATCTGGCAATAAGTTTGAAATCTTAACTAATTGTGTCTGTTGGGAAAAACAGTACAGGAAATTCTTGTTAATTCGAACACGGATAATTCAAAATTCTGTTAGTTTGTAACTGTACTGTACTTTTGTTTTGGCTATTAGGGATATAGAGATTTACATGTTAAAGAATTCGCTTAGTTCAAAATATGGCTACTTCAAAATTTGAAGTAAAAATTCTGTCTGAACTGTGATATGCATATGTTAACTTGTTCATTTAGATCAAAGTACCTTCATGCTATGAAAACAATAGACCAAGAACAACTCTAATCTAGTCAATATGGCTTTGTTTACAGTAACACATTTTCAGGTGTCACCTTACCCATGGACTATCCTTTTTGCTCTTATCTCATAAAATACAGCTGATTTTTGGGATTGCAAGATTGGTTATAAGTAGCAGATTGAAATATTTGTAGTGCTACTACATTTAGGCATCTCACTACTTTTTGGGCCACTTTAAAAATAATCTGGACTACATTTTGAGGAATTTTGCTTTACTTTCTATAAAACCTATCTGGCAACCTGTGAAGTTCTCACTGGATGTGCTATTTACCTTCCAATTTATATTATTATTTATTATAAATTAATCAAAATAGTATTCTTTATACGTATCCATATTCTGTTTTTTTAATAAATTACATCAGTTACATGGCATTTGGCATATTGTACAGATACATGTAAATCTCAGATAATTCAAAACTTGATAATTCATAGTTGTGATTATTTCGTCTCTTGAATTTCAAACCAACAAGGCTTTCCTATATCTACAAAATTATTTGTAGATATAGGAAAGCCTTGCTTAGGAAATCAAATTAATTCATATACTGTAATTATAAAGTAAGATATTTTTAGAAATTTTATTTCAATTTTCACCAGTTAACTCAATCTTTTTCACAGTATATTCTCCAAATTAATATTATCCTGTTAGGTCTAATAGATAGCATTGATTTGGATGAAATATTGCAAAAAGAAAATAAATTAGTTCTGTGGAAGAAAGAGAGAAAGTATAAAAACTTTTATTAATTGTGAAGTAATGCATCTTAAAGAAATGTAAGTTCATAAATAATTAATATGATATTGGAAAAAGAAGATTTTTATTCTTAGTATACAGTAATACCTTGACTTACACTACCCAACTTACACGAACCTGAAGTTACGTGATTTTCAAATCTCGATTTGTCTTTTGTTTGAGTGCCACGCAACTCTTGATTACTCACTCCCCCCACACTATTGTTCAGCTTACATGTTCGGATGTGTCGCGCGGAATCGACACATAGCTACAATTTATTTTGTGTTATTTATTTCTGTGTTTATTATATCTACGAAGACTCGAGTGACTATGTGGTGATTTCTTGTAACCGTGAACGAATCAAAAGACGAGATAAGATTAACAAGAACATTTATTAACTTACATACATTCAACTTGGATTTTACACAAATTGCGAAATTATACCCCTACTTACACGGTTATCGCTCGGTCCCATTTATCGCGTAAGTTTGGGGTATTATTGTATATAACAATGTGTATTTTCAAGACAATGTCACATGCATCAGTGGGCTTTCTAGATATTCAGCTAGTGCCTGAGTTTTTGCTTTTAACATTCCAAGTCTTTTAAGATACCTCTTACACACTCTCTTTATAAAACTTATCAAATGTAACAAACAACCTTTAATATATCCAGCAAAATATAAAAAGTAACTGTCTTGAGTAAACTTCAGATTTAAACAAAATTACAGTAAGACCCTGCTTAACGTGGGGATATGTACTGTACCTAGACGACAAAGTGCTAAATGAAACAGTGTTAAACGAGGTCAAGGTCATTTTAATATAGAATAAATAGGGAAAGGGAGACATGCGATTGAAAATAAACAGATTTTACTATAATTTTAAATTATTTTTATATTAATTTGCATAATGATATACTGTATATTTCCACAGATAAGATGAGGTATAAATTTTTGTCAAAGTTTTATAGTTTTAGCATATATCTGCCCTATAAGACGACCCCAAGCTATCAATGGCCTCTGAATTTAGTNAAAAAAAAAATAGTTGAGAAAGAATGGGAAGGAATCGTGAATCTGAGTTCTGAGTCTCTACTTCTACATCTGTCGGTTAACGGTTAAGGAACCGAATAGGTCCAGTCAACTTTACCGCACTGTGCTAAAGTGTGCTGTGTTTTTTGTTCGCGGAACGTGCCCACAAATACTCTGGCCGCGAAGGATAAAGGCAAAATTTCAGAAATTGATATAATAAAGTGAGCTTTATTTTGTTAGGAAACGTGTTGAAAACGAACGCCTTCGACGGCAATGCAAAGAGGTAGACGGTCGAGTATGGCGTCACGGATGGCTCAGCATTCATAGTGTCACCATTTCACGAGCCTGTCGTATTTCGAATAGTTCTCTACAATATCACGCAGCGCGTTAGCGGCCGGATGACCGAGCGGTCAAGATGGCAGCCTACTGCTCTGGGGGACCCGGGTTCGATCCGAACGGGTCGAAAAATCCCCAGGAATTTTTCGGGGTGGTCCGTTCGGATATGTCGGGCCCCGTCCCTTACTACCCGGCAGCCCCATTGGTGGCCTGGCCGAACTCATAATGGGCTTGCAAAAAGAGGCCCTCTTAGTGCCCACAGGGCGGAAAGAGTTTTAAAAAATATATATATATATATCACGCAGCGCTGCTGAGTACGCATCGTATACCGATGCTTTTATGTGACCCCGAAGGAGAAAATTCCGGGGGTTAAGTCCACGGAGAACGTGGTGACCACGGAACAAGGCCGTATTGCCTTACCTAGCGGTTGTTAAACTTTTCTGCGAAACCTCTGACGCACATCTGTCCGGGAATGAGATGGCGCCATCGTGCTGGTACCAAATCTGCTGTAGTTGTATTGTCACTCGTCCCTTTTGTTGAATGATTTATTTTACAGAATGCACCGATTTATTATTATCGTGGCATTTTTTAAAATGAATTAAGTTGTTGTTCCTGGATAGATATTTAAGAATCTATTACTTTAATGCTGAAACGTGCATGCACTACATGTAACGGGCCAATCTGTATAAATATGTGGGCAACTAGCTGTTACCCGCGACTTCGTCCGCGGAGGTTTTGCAAGCAAACCCCCATTTATATTCAGTATTTCAACGACCATAGTAATTGTTATATAACACCTGCCGCCGAGAATGATGAGAATTGCTGAGAATCAAACAAACTATTTTCAATTTGATCAATTTTCTGGAACGTTTACAATCGTTCTATGATCGAACCAATATGCAATAACAAATTCGAATTTAAAACGGTTCGAACATTT